GTCCAGCATGGTCCACGCCATCAAGTACAACGTGGGAGATTCGGTCCAGACCTCCCAGGTGGTTTACTTCACCAACCGCCAGGCCCTGGGAGTCTCCCAGCAGCAGATGCCCAAAGTCAGGCAGGCGCTGCACATCAAGGCGGGGAAGCGTGTGGTCAACGCGCCGTTGGAAGGGCCAGCAGGCCAGCAGATCAAAGCATTGTTGGCGAAAAGGTTCCTTTCTCTCACCTTGTTGATGTATATGAATATATATATATATATATATGTGCGTGTGTCTGTGTGTGTGTTGTACTTTTTGGAAAGACCATGTTAGCCGTAAACAAGAAATTCATACTTGTTGGCCAATCCGCTCGGGAAGTGAGGTTCTTGCTCATGGCGCTAGGGAAAAAGAAAACCATTCAAACCACCACACCAAACTCAACCTGTTGCCAAACAGTTTTTTTTTGTTTTTTTCGGTTGGGCCATGGACGCCAAGATTTTCTTCCTGGGAGTCAAAAAGCCTGGGCTTTTGTTTGCCATGGACGCGTTTTTTCTGTTTTTTGCCTTGGAAACTCGGCGAAACTTCCGATTCGCGCGTTGCGCGCGCCACACTCCGCCATGGCACTCCGCCTCCGCCTGCGCCTTCAGGAGCCCAAGCTGGTGATCCGGCTGCTGCCCTCCACAGGTCCGGCCAACTTCTGGAAGACCTGCCTGGAGCTGCACCCGGAGCTGGCGCAGCGCCTCGAACACGGAGTGAGGCGTAAGCCCCAAGACCACCCTAAACCCTTCCGGTCAACGAATCCCTTGCCATGGTTTGCCTTTCCACTGATAGAAAAGCTGCCCCCCCTGGTATTGTAGAAACCCTTTTCAAGGGAGGCTGTTCATTTCAGTCGAAAACGCAAACCCCGATCCCACTCACTAAGCCAACCCTAAGCCCCAAACCAGCCTTAAATCACCTGTAACCCTTCCAGGAGGTCGACTAGTCCCTTCGCCCTAAATTCAAACTGCGAGGGGGCTTTTAGGGATCAGCACGTTTTCGAAAAGCGTCCTGCGCCCAACTGCGCAAGCCTTGGCGTTGGGGGGGGGGGGGGGCAGGTGGCTGAAAGTACAATGCTGGCAAAAGCGTGAACAACTTCGAGGCATATAACAATTCGGCCAGATCCAGAGAGCTGTTGGTGTTGTTTTCCTGCGGAAATTCATCGCAGTTGAAGCGTGTTGAAGTCCTGGAAGGCAGGCGAATGAATAATTCCGTGGGAAAGACTATGAGGAAGGGATATGACGGGGAAGGACGGGGAACGGACGCGCAGTTCCCTTCTCAGGTATAACCCCACCAAGAAGATCCCGGAGCGGACCCCAGAGGCGCGGTCCGGATATCATGCGAACGCCTCACTGTTTTGGGTGAAGATCTGCAAACTCGCTTCCTTCGGGCACTCCTTGCCAGATGCCCAGGAGGCCATCCAAGTGGAGCAGCGCTTGACGCTCATTGCGAAAGAGGCCGGCCACCAACTGCAACCACCGGGGCATGCGAAGCTGCGAATGTCACATTTGGCACGTTATGCTTGGCCTTGCCGAAAAGGCAAATGGGTGTGTCTTGTTTTAGGGGACCCCCCCTCCCAAAAATGAATAAATCATAAGAATGTGGTTAAAACATGTCAAAACCCGCAAAAAGAAGGGGTACCTTAGAAAAAAGACACCCCCAACACATTTCTCGGTTGACCGCTCGATTTGAATTTCGAGGTGCTGCTGCCATTGGCCTTCAAGTCCAACGCCTTGATCGTGGGCAGCAGCTGCTGCAGCCTCACCCAGGCCTTTGCGAAGGTCTCTGCGCCGGTGCAGCACCGCTATGGAGAGGACCGCTGAACTAGGTCCCAGTAGTGCATGTTTCCACTTACCAGGGTTCCATTGAGGGCACATTTTTTGACCCACACCCAAATGGTATCTAGGTCCCCCAGCGAGGTGCCCGGTGCCCTTTCTCAGTTCAACGCTTGTGAAGGTGTGTTGGGCTGCCTTTTTGCTCCATGTCAGTCAGAATTCAATTTGATTATTAGTAGTGATACTTAGATGCTGGGTTGAGGGTTGAGTTGGTTGAGCTGTGGTGAAGGCATTGTTCGAATGGTTGGGTATAAAAAGCGAACTTCTCTTCTCCAGCGCATTCCTTTCGCGAGCCAGGACTGCCCTTTCCGCATGGTGATCTTCGACCACGCGCCGTTCCTCTTTGGGGCCTCGGACAGCAATCAGGACATGGGCGCCCTCGAGGTTGAGCTCAGGCCAGAAGAATCGACGGGCGGGGAACGCCTGTTTGACCCTGGGACAAGGGATCCCAAGGGAGGATTTTTGGAGGCTGGCAGGCGGGCAGTCGGAGGCTCCGAAGGGCTGTGACAAAAAGCAAGCCATCAAAAGTAGGTCCTTTTGACAAGTCTTGACAACCGTGACAAAGCGAGAAGTTAGAAGACGCAATAGTTGATCAAACAACTATGCCGGATGTATTTACAAGTCTTGGGGCTAGGGGGTTCAGAAGGAGGTCACCTGAAAACCAAGTCATGGATCTTTGTTCAGCACATGTTATGTGGCAGGTCCTTCAACCAGAACTGGGAGCGAACGGACTTTACAAAAGCCCTGATTAAGAAGTTTGGACACGAGTCACGGTTCTGGCCCTGCCACTCACCGGTGGAAGGTGCCGGAGCCTATATAATTTTCGAGTCCCTGGCCACAAAACGAGCAGATCAGATCGATATCAGAGCTGGCGAGCAATTCCTGAACAAGTTTGTGGCTTCCCTGCAGAGCTATTTGCCAGTGGTTGCCCTCTGGACCTGTGGCGACAGCCGCTTGAGCAACATCGGCCAAGCTGCAGACCACGTGAGTTACCGACTACCGTTGATCCTGCTGGACAGCCGTAGCCTTTGGCGTCGAGAGGTTGAAAAACCCGAGGGGGAGCAGTCACCCAATCCGCGCGATGACCCGCTGGATCTGGACACGGCCTTGGAAAAGCTGCATGGCATCGCTGATGGCTTGCGGGACATGTCGCAGGTGGACACATACACGGTTTCTGCATTGGCACTGGTCCGCCGAGCTTTGGACTCCATGCGGAGACAGCAGCTCACCAAGAACCGCCGCAGCAGGGGGGCTGGGAGCGGCTTGAACCTTGCGGGTGATCAGGAAGACCCAAAGATGCTTTGGCTTTGGCAGGCAATTGAACTTGCCAGGGGCAAGGACTTCTCTCAGGAGCACGAGGATGATGCCATAGAGCAGCATTCAGCTGGGGCTGTTGCGAATGAGGCGGTGGGCCGATTTCTGCGGTATGTGGGGGAGCAGCAATTTCAAGAAGCACAAGTCATCAAATATATGCGGGAGGGTGGCATTAATGGGCTCAGGAAGGCGACCACCTACGAGGAGCTGCAAAAGCTTTGGATCGAAAACTTGCAAAAGATGATCTACAGTTTGGCGCATTGCCCGCCCTGCCTCTTTGAGAGAAGCATTGGCGGCATGCAGCTGGTGAAAGAGGCGTACACGAAAAATGGCACCTTCGGCGAGGTTGTTGAGCTGAACTTGAAGGAGTTGCAAGACCACGGCCTTCCTTTCGACATGGTCCACGCAGAGCTGATGGCGGCCCTTGAGGAAGTCCAGGCGGGTTTGGGGGTGTGGAAAGTGTTTGCACGCGCAGGCATCTAGAGAGCAGCGCGGAGGTGAGAGAAGGTTGAGGGCCCCTGCCAAGGCCAGCAACGCCCGCTATGATGAGCGGGAGAAGCAGGCGGATGTCTTCCTGCGCAGGAGCGATTTGTGGCTATCGGTCTACGATATTTTGGCGTCGGATGTGGTGTATAGCTGCGGCATCGACAAGATTGACCGCATCAAGGAACTCATGAGCAAGCAGGCCCGCTCCGAGCGGCTGCCGGACAGCAACACCTTGGAAGGCCTGTTGCTTTTGCAGTCCGCGTGGACGCTGACAGATTTGTTCCATAGTACGGCTGGTCGTTTCAAGTGGCTGGCCAAGTCATCTTACGTTTTGGTGCTTGTTCTGGGGGTTGTGATGGTCTGCATGATCGCCCTGGAAACTTACGGCACGCTGGACATGCGCACGGCCAAGAATGTAGTCCTTTCACTGGCGCTACTTTCCGGAGCGCTGAAAGCGTGGACTTCATTTTCTGATCCGATGAACAAGTGGCTAAAGCTCAGGTCTGGCTCTGTCATGCTGCAAGCAGAGATCTGGAAATTCCGCACGCGCGTTGGGAACTATGCCAGTGTGCGATCCTTGCATCAGCGGGAGGCAGCCGAGCGATTGGCAGAAACCAACCTACAGGATGTGATTCGGGCTGTTCGAAGCTCAGTCCTGGAAGGCTCCGGTCTCAGTCAGACTAAGTTCTACTCCATCAGTACCGTGGTTGATGACGCTCAAGCAGGTTCACGCATTCCTCCTTCCCTTCCTGGAAGGCATTTTCAGCACAACCCTCGCAAAGTGGTGAGCCCAGTGCAGGTGAATCAGGATAACCACCACTCACCAGTGAGCCCGGATGAGTACATTTGCTGGCGAATTACGCCATCACTGAATTTCTACCAGCAGCGGGTGCCGCTCTATGCACGGCTCCTCACTTTTCTTCAGGCGGCGCGTGCAAGCTTGCGCAAATCCGGAACAAGCACATGATCATACAGGATACGCACACACACACACAAACATATTTATATTTATACCATACATTTACACACACACAGATATATATATATATATGTACATAGTTAACTTTCAGACTCATCCCCTAGATTGAACCACCGGGCTCGCCATTTTCTAGGTCGTGTCCTTGGGCTCGTCGCTGGTCACCACGGTGCTGGCGGCCTTCGACGGCTTCGCCTTTTGGACGCCGCTGGTGGTGGCCATCGCCAGCGCCTTCGCCGCCTGGCAGGAGCCGACAGCTCAGTCAGCGAGCGCCCGCAGGGGCCTGGGGGGGGGGACGGGGTGAAACGGGGCGCGCTTGGGAATGTCCAATGGGAAGAGTAAGCCATAGAAAGATCCAAGCCCAAAATGCCGGGAGAAAAGGGGGGGGGAACCATAGTCCGATCCAAGCCAAAAATTGGAATGGGAAGAAATGAGTAGAATTCATTGTAGATTGTATTCACACTAGTAAACCATATTCTGATCCAAGCCAAGATGGGGGGGTGTCACAAAAGTTGATTCTCCATTAAAAGGGGACCCGCCCCTTATTGATCAGCCAGGAGTTTATGAATTTGATGTTCACATTAGCTTGCAATGCCGGAGTAGGCCAAAAGAAGTAACTCCCTCATGAACAGCTGCACGTTCTTTCCTGACTTTTGTTGGAGGGGATGCAGGCATATTTGGGCTGCAACTGTTCATTGTCATTTCAAGTCTAAATGCGTGAAGGATGCTGTGGAGTTTTGTAGCTTGAATTCACTTGGATCTGGTTCCGCTCGCGCGGTATACCAAGCATCAAAGTTCAGATGATGAGAATGCGCGTCAAGTCTGTCCAGTGCATGAACTCTGCACTGGTTATTGCGCGAGGAGTTTGGCGCCGCAGGGAAGAAGCTGCAGCGTTACTCCACGGCCATCGACACCCTGAGCAGCTTGATTCTGTGGTGGAAGGCGGGGCGGCCAACCCATTCGTTGGCTCGGGGCCCGGTCTTCAAATAGGTGGGCACAAGCCAAAGATAGGCAAGCAGTTTTCGGAGCCCCTTCTTGTGTCAAGTTGTCCTTGTAGAAACAGCTCGGCATTGACTGGCAAATGTTCATAGAAAACCCTAACTGAATATGCTGAATCCCGTGGACTCTTGTCAAACTAACCCCTGCACATGTTTCCACTGATTTTCACCCAAATCGACCCAAAAGGCTTCCCCAACGGCCAAGCCATGGGATGCGCTTCCTCCGCTGCCGCCTCGCAACTTGCAACTTGCAACTTTCGTTTAGGCGCTGCCTGCGGTGGACAAGGCAGACGCCCGGAACATCGAGCGCCTGGTGAGCACCTCGGAGGCCACCATCGCCGCAGAGCACACGGCCTGGCTCAGCGACGCCCTGAAAGCCCAACGCTTAGTGGAGCAGGCCATGAGCCAGGACGGGGGGCAAATGATGGACATTTCCAGACATATGCCCCTAAATTAACAGGAACATATGTGAAACACCTTGGGTTTTGTTAACAAGCTGTTATCTTTTTTAAGGGTTGGGTGTACAGGGTATGTGTCAGACTGGGGGGGAAGAAGGAACAATGGCGGGCTTTTCCTGTTGGCTGCGAATGGCTGCCTGGCTAAAACGGCCGCATGTGTCAAGCGAGGCCCAAAATGCAGCCTCGCTGTGTTTTCTAGTCATCCCCCAGCCAACACATCCACGGTGCTTTTTCGAGATCGTTTGGCCAGAAGAGCTGCAATGGCTTGGGGGGGGGGGTCAGCAGTCTCCCTTGCTGACATTGTGGTGCAGACGTGCGGGCTGCAGGAGCACCAACAGAGTCACAATGAAGAGCCCGAAAAGGCCACCGAGTAGTGCCACGGTATGCATTTACTTGCTTGTGCTCAGTAGGGAATGAACTTAGCCGAAACCATAAGGGATGGTTTATAGAGGGTCATTCCCTCATTCCCTGCTGAGCACCAGCAAGTTTATCGCATTTCTCTTCAGCGTCAAGCCGCTGGCTATCCGGCCGCGACTTCTGCGGCCAATTTGCTAATGAGACCGCGCTGAACGCTGCGGGCTGAAAGTGAGCCCACAGCACATACGATTTCAAGATGTAGGCCGGCTTATTCTCCGGGGAATTTCCAGCAAAGTTGGGTGATTTTTGCGCACTCTGACGTACATGCATTTCTCTGCACATTGAATGAGCTGGGAGTCGTAAGAGCACAGCCTCCTGTGAAACAGGACTGTCAAATATGGGTGGGAAAGGCCCCCCCTTTCAAAATCATCATTTTTCAAATATATTATTTATTATTCATCAAACCATATGAATCAAACACACACACACACACACGTATATATATATATAGAGATTATTTATATTTGACATATATGTCTATAATATATATATATATATATAAAATATATCTATATAACTAATATTAATATTTATTAGGCTGATATATATATATATATATGATGTAACGGCCCGGCATGTAAAGATGAATTAGGTTTGCGTTCCGCCAGATTTCGGCTTGCGGGCTATGTCCACTGGCCACTCCTCCGAAGGAGTGTGCCAGTGCGATTTGTGCCTGACCCTTAGCAGGGTCAGGGATCTGTGCCGAGGGTCTAGCTCCTATTTTTTCTGGAGCCGGGCCCTCGAGCGTGTGAGGTTGCTGCAGGGGGAGATCCTGGACCTTCGGGATCGGGATCACTGGTTGACAACCCAGCCCCCTGCAGCAACCCCTCCTGGGACGGGAGGGGTAGGAGGTGCTCCTTCCGAGGGAGCATCTCCTGTGGGAGCTCGAGCTCCTGAGGGAGGACCGGGGGACCTGGCAGTCCCCCCGGCCTCCGACACAGGCTCAGCGGCAGAGGCTGCTGGGGCCAAAGAGGCCGGTGAGGAGAGAGTGAAGGAGAAGAAGAAAAGGAAGAAAGAGGAGAAGAGGGAGAAGGAGAAGAAACGGAAGAGGTCCAGGTCATCGAGGGGGAAACGCGAGGAGAGCGTAGAGGTCACAAGGAGTCCGGGAGGAAAGGAATCGAAAAGAGGAAGGGAAGAGTTTCCGTGGCACCAGGTTGGAGGCTCGGTGGGGGTCAAGGAGGAGCCCGTCGCGAGCGAGGAGGAAGAGGAGCGCCCTCGGGAAGCCAGACATCGGACCCCCACCTCTCCGGTGTCATCAAGCAAGGAGGATAAGGCGAAGAGGCATAGGAGCACTTCGAGTGAGGGGCACATCCGGCGGCTTATTGCAAAGAACAAGGAGGCCACTGAGGAACGGGCTGAAGGTGAAGAGAGGAGAGAGGAGGCATCAGACAGCAGAGAGAAGGAGGAGATCAGGAGGGACCTTAGCCGGTCCCCTTTGCGGAGGCTCCCGGGGGGCTTCATCGAGGACCTGCTGATCCGGCCCCGAGAGGAGTACAGAGGTGAGGACAGGAGAGGAAAGAACAAAGGGCGTAAGAAAAGAGAGCAGCAGAGGAGGTTCAGGGAGAGGCAAAGGAAAAGGCGGTGGAAAGCACTGGGGAGGCCGAGGAGATTGATGCCTCCGAAGGTGGGCGGCAGAAGAGGAGCTGCTAAGGCCAAAGCAGCTGCAAAGGGGAGAGCTAAAGCCCTGGCCCGGCTGCCGGTAGCTCCTCCTAGGGTCCGAAGGAGACCAGCTGGGGAGGAAGAGAGAGAGGAGCCGGCCGTGTGGAGGAGGCCGGCTGGTCGACAGGTGGCTCCAGTTGAAGAGAGGTTTGAGAAAGGAGAGAGTGTGAACGTGGTGGAGTTGCCAAGACATTTGCTTAGGCCAGGCCAGAGCTTGATCGTGGTTGAAGGCAACTACTGGGAAGCCCCCGTGACGCTATGTGGAACAGTGGAGAGAGTCGAAGAGGACGGAGCAGGTGTCGTCGTGGAGGTTCGGCTGTTGGGCACGGAGAACGAGGACCTCCTGAAGCGGTCGACAGGGAACCCAGCGAGCCGATGCAAGCTCCACATGTGCGGGGACGGTTGCGTGGCAGGCCTATGCGAGGACGGGCTGGTCCACGTGAAGACAGTCAGGCTTCGCCTCCCAGGAGCAAGGGAGGCGTGGCTGGACAACCTGGTGGGGCATGTGCCGTTTCAGGTGGACGACATGGCGGCGTTGAGAGAGAGGGGAAACGAGCTGGAGAAGGAAGATTTGAAGGCTGGAAGAAAGAGCAAGAGGGCAAAGGAAAAGGAGACAGGAGGTATGGAGAAGAAGAGGGCGAGAAGCGAGTCAAGCTCTTCAACCAGCTCATCCAGCCGGAGGAGAAAGAAGAAGAAGAAAAAGAAAAAGAAGGCGAAGAGAGGAGTAAAGGTCGAAGCAACAAAGGAGCTGAGCGCCGTGTTTGGAAACACCGGGATGGACCCGGATGTCAAGGTGAGGAGACAGGTGGTGAGGAAGGTAAAGAAAAGCCTGAGGCTGCTGCAGAGACAGATGGACACCTCCGATCGGGACTCTTCGGGAGAGGAGTCGACAGAGGAGGAGGACGCGGGGGTGTTCGAGGAGGCGCAGAGGATCAGGAGAGTTGGAGTAAGAGGCCCAGGAGTTTTGGCAGCGGCGTCCATCAACGAGATGAAGAAGTCGTTGGTCGCGGCTTCAGGGCAGCTGTGGGGCCAAAGCAGAGATCTGGCGCCGGTGGGAGTGCACTATTTCAGGACGGTGCTTCAGCTGAAACTCCATGGCGCGATGGCCCGAGAAGCGTTCACCCTGGCCTATGGTGCGGACCTCCTGGCCCAAGGGAGGGTCGCCGAGGCGATCGACTTGTTGCTGCAGCGCCTGAAATCGTTGGAGCAGGTCTCTCAGGGGATGCCGTGGCAGACTGCTCAGAAGATGGAGCTGTGCCCCTTGGAGACAGCTCAGGTAGCAACCCGGGCGGAGGCTGCGATCGCGATAAAGGAAGCCCGCGGAGAAGGTGCCTGGCAGAACCCTGGAAAAGGTGCTCCTGGGAGGGAGCAGCAACCGAAGGGTGGTTGGCGAGAGCCAGGAAAAGGACGAGACGGCAAAGGCAAGAGCAAGAAGGGCAAGGAGGAGAAGGGATCAAAAGGTGCAGAGAAGAAGTAAGGAAGGCAGGAGTCAGCAAAGAGGAGGAAGCGCCAGCCTGGAGATCTCCTACGAATGGGAGAGGTGAGGACCGGACTATGACAGAGGAGGATGAGACCTTGGACCACAGCGTCCCTCAGAAGATGACAGACCGTGGAAGAATTCAGGTACTGCCATGCATGAGGGGAGCCAACAGCGCTCCTAGCCAGGGGATGTTGCCTCTGCCCTCGGGCCGACCCGAGGTAGAGGCGCAGAAGGGAGTAGGAGAGATGCTGGGGGGCCTTACTTTTGGTGAGGGAGCAGTTCATTTGGGAGCATCGCTGTTTCAATATTTATCTTCAAGCTGCATGACCAAGTCCATTGGCAACATCTTTCCCTTGCCATC